AAATGCTGGGATTAAAGGTATGTACTACCACTACCTGGCCTCTATGTCTATCTAGTGGCTAGTTCTGCACTCTGATCTTCAGGTAAGGTTTATTTGTGAAAGCACAGACAGAATATCACCACAGTATTTCCCTGCTTTACTTTTACCTCAGTATCTGTATAGCCCAAAAGTCTTTAGGTACACAATCAATGATAATTGGCTCAAGATATTTAGGAAGATATGTTGTCTGCAAGCTTGGGGATGTACTGGGTTCAGTTGTTTCTAATCATGGTTTACCTTTGGGGTCACCCTCAGAGGTTTATCAAATTTTGGTTCCTGTCACTTTTCCTCTGGCCAAGATTCTGTTGCAGCGGAGGTGAATCATCATCAGTCATGTTTCAAGTCACTGGTTTAGAACTGCCTTAAATAACACCCTGACCAATCAGGTCATTTGTTTCTTAGTAGAGAGGCCTGCAACGAGAAGACAGTGTGACAGAGTGTCTGCCAAGGCCACACAGTGCTCTATGCAGGACATGTGACTATCAGCTTGGTTGCTACATGCAGCAGAAGGGAAAAACTGCTTCAACTACAGCCTCTGCATGCCAAAGTCACATGTTCCCCTCAGAAGACACAAAACCACTCAGACCTGTAACCACCTGTGGTTCTAGGCGGGCCAGTGTCCATCGAGGTGGAGACAAACGCCTAAAAGTCACTTATAGATATGAAACCTTTGTGAGATGCACAGATGCAAAGACTTTCTCCCATTGTGTGAGCTGTCCCTTCACTCACTTAACTGTTTCCTTCGCTGTACAGAAGATGTTTGACTTTATGAGGTCCTATTGTTCACTGTTGGCCTTATTTCCCAAGTAACTAGGTTTCTGTTTGGAAAGTCCCTGACCACGCTGTATCTTGATGTATTTTTACCTGCATTTCTTTCTCTGACAGTTTCAGAGAGTCAGGTCTTATTCAATAGTCTTTGACCCACTTGGTTTGCTTTTTATGCATGGTGAGAGATACTTTCATTCTTCTACATGTTCTGTCTGATTTATGGTTCCTAAAGCTAACTTAGCCACATAAAACCATGCATGCATTTATTAAATAAAAGTGTATGTGGAACTGTCTAGGGGAATAAAAGGGACTAATGAGAGTCAGGAGGCACAGGAAAAGGGGTGCAGGGGAGGAATAAGATGATGGGATATGCTCAACATAAAATACATACCCGTAAGAAACTTTTTAAATAATAATAATAGGTTGTATAAAATTTCCTAAATGTAAGAGAAGAATACCAAGACCCACGCACCTCCCCGTGGCTGAAGAACTTCTGTCCTCCCCTCAAATCATCAGTTGCCTCTTTATTAACCCCTTTTCATTAACTAATCTGGAAAACTCAATTCCTCCCATTATTTTCTAATGACTTAGCATATTAAATTCTATATGAAATCTTCCACAAGATGTCATAAAATAGCAGGATTATATAATGTAGGTATCTACAGTGTTGTGTTAGGTGCCTAATGCAGTCAGTCAAAGTCAGTCACATTCATTATGTAATAGGGCAGTGCACAAAACTGACCCACAATCCCATAGACAGTCAGGGATCTAAAGCATGGATCCTTAAATTCCTTCCTTCAGATGTCCTACTGAGTCACAGAAACATAGGATCATGTTCATGCATTGTAGTTTAATACATTTTCATAATCTCATAATACAAATAAAACAGATCACCTACATAACCACATGGTAGCTATTAGAGGTTTTATTATAGAAAATGATAGGATACTTCACAAATAAGTTTCTAAAATAAGTTAACTGAAGACAACGTTCTTCCTTTATTATGTCTTTATTGGGGGTTGGAAATTTTTGCTCGTTAAATTCTTTGGTTTCTAATTTTTGACATTGATCTCTGCATACATACATACACACACACACACAATTATACCATTGGAATAGCCATAATATTTAATTAGGTATGTTTTACCACCCCTTTGAGCCTCTCCAAAAAATTAGATATTCACCTGAAGAGTTTCTAAAGCATGCTACCACTCTAATTTCCTTACTATCAATACAAAAAAAGTTAATAAACATAACAATGAGACTGGTGGTCTCTAGGTATGAAAATTAGAGTAGAGCCTTCAAACGGACTTGGGACCATCTATGCATACATGATAGGCTTGATTTTAAAGTTCCCCATCTTCATTGTCGGAAGGACACATTCAATCCATTGCAGATTATTTAAGGTCAATCCCCTGCAGTTTCTGGTCAGATTGGCATTTCATTATACTTGAAGTGGCATCTTCAACTCCCTCCTGCCTCTTGCAATTAGCCAAGAAAAATCCAGAGCCAAGGGAAATGGTTTACAAGAGTTCACCAGCTCTTCAGTTCACCCTGGGACTAAGCAGACTCACCAGGGAACACACTAGAAACAGCAAAGAAAACACACTTGGAAGCATCTCTCACACCTGGCTCTTGAGGTGAAATTAATCTAACCTAAAACTTTGAGTTGACTCCTAGAAAATATTGTAACTCCATCCAGGCTTTTTTGTTGCTTGACATTAACAGATGGCAAAAATTTAGAAAGCTTTTAAACTATAATGGGCAACTTTCAAGGCCTGGAAAATGCTACATAGCATCTTTGGAGAATATAAGGACAATGTAATTGACAAAACTATAGGGACAGCAAATACCATATCCCCTGAAAATCTGTCTCCAAGATGTGATAGTAAAGTCCTTTATCTTTGGACAATAGTATAGAAGCTGTGAGTATTGCCAGCTTCCCTGTCCCCAATGTTATCTACCACGGAAAGCTAATATTGGAAAAGACCCCATCTGAATTGTGTAGCTTAAACCCAAGTTATCTCGAGTGTTTTTGAGTCACATGAATTATTTTTCTCTATTTTTATTTAAATTGGAATCAAGCTTGTTTTACATGTCAATCCCAGTTCTCTCTTCCTCCCCTCCTCCCCTGCCTCCCACTAACCATCTATCCCATCCCCTTTCTGCTCCCCAGGGAGGGTGAGGCCCCTCTCTACTTCATGAGCTATATAAATTTTTTAGATCTGGATTCTGCATATAAGAGGAAAACAAACAATATTTGTTGGGAATCTGGCTTGTTTTGTTTAACACGATTGTTCTAGTTTCACCTTCTATTGAGATGATAAAAGCAACTTCAAGGGAGGAAAACTTTGTTCAACTTACAACTCACTGCAAGAAAGTTAGGCAAGGAACTTGAAGCAGCTGGTCACATTCATAAACAGAACAGAAAAATAATGAATGTGTGTGTGCTTGCCTTTTAATTGACACCAGAGTTAGTCAATATTAATTAGCATAATGATGACCTCCAATTCCATCTACTTTCCTGAAAAGTAAAGATTTAGTTCTTCCTCATAGTCGTATAAACTTCCACTGTATGTCTATATTACATTTTCTTTATTTGTTCCTTTTCCCATTGATGGGAATGTCTTCTGTACATATGCTTCTCTTATTGGTTGATGAATAAAGCACTGTGGGCAATGAGACAGGATGATAGGTGGGACTAGGAGACAAAGAGGATTCTGGGAAATATATGCAGAGTCAGTCATCATGTAAGACTCAAGAGGAGTAACATGTCCAGACTCTTTCTTCAGTAAGATAAGACCACGTGGAAATACTTACCTTAACATAGATGGGTTAACAATTAAGACAGAGCTAGCCAATAAGAAATCCAAGCCAACAGTCAACAGTATTATAACTAATATAGTATCCGAGTGTTATTTGGGGTTCTGAGGCAGCTGTGGAACCCAGCGGGAACACCATAACAGTCTGTGGACATCTAGACTTCACCAACCTTTTCAGACTTTCTGGGTTTCCCCAACTCTTACAGCCTAGTAGCTAAGCTCCACTGATGATCCTATTTTAAGAGGAAGTAGCCATGTAATAGTGACTTTAAGCAGCTTTCCCACAGTTACACAGCTAGTAAGTAGTGGCACCAGCATTAAAACCTAGACCAGCTTGGGAGGCAAAACCCTGTTTCTAATGACCTGAAAACTAGGTGTGGCTTTATAATTGTTAGTGGCTGGGAAAGAAGTGAAAAGACATTTCTGAGCTAAGCTTCCTTGACCATGAGCAATTATCCCTCCTATAGGATTGCACATGCTTTGTAAATGTTTCTTTAGAATCTATATACATGAGGCATTATTGGTCTATGACTTTCTTTCTCACAATTACCCCTCTGGGTTGTAGCCATGTAGGCCTTGATCTGGGAAGTATTCTTCTCTTTTTGTTTTGTCTAGAAAAAGTTTATGTAAAACCGGTACTGTTATATCCTTTAATGTTTGGCAAAGTTTATTTTAAACAAATCAGAAAAACTGAAAAGAAAAATACAATATCCTTGGGTATTCCTGGGGATTGTTCAGGACTCCCCGCAGAGGCGTCTCCAATCCCTTTTAAAATTGCTGTGGTGTCTGCTCATAACCCATCACATCTTCCCATAAGCTCTAAATCACTGCTAGGTTACTTATAATACCTAATATCATGTAGATATGATAAAATGACTGCCACACTATATCACTTAGGGAATAATAACAAGGACAGATGCAATTTTTGAACCAAATGTTTTTGAACCTCAGTTGGTTGAATCCACAGCTTCAGAACCTGTAGATATTGTGATCTGACTGTGACTCGCAATTTATAAAAACTGCACATTTAAATTTTGATGTCTAAAAATTGAGTGTTAGACTCATTCTTTGACAAATCAACCCAATGGTGGCTTTGTGCATTGGGAATAAAAAGGGAAAGTGAGACAGTGTGGCCCCACAGAGTCTCAGACATTTGCCCTCTGCCCTTCACAGACTATCTGGCCAATCCCAGGCTAAATGTACAGCCCAGATCTTAACCATTTCACTACTGAAAAGAGTAAATTCCACCCTGCCTTCTTGTGCCTAGGCTGCTTAACTTGGTCACACTTCCTTCATCCGCCTCCACAAACAAACTCTGTGTCTCTGGACCACTGCTCCTGCCATCTTTCATGGTCACTTCTTCTTTCCTAGTGAACAGCACCAAACACATCGTTAGGAAGTTCCGAGGCCACCTGCGTACCAAGATTGAGTCTGGGGAAGGGACAGTCCCTGTCCGGGGCCCCAGTGCAGTCCAGACGTGGGATGGCATCCTGCTGGGGGAGCAACTAGTCACCATGTCCTGCACAGACAAGATTGCCAGGTAAGAGCCCAGTTAGCTGTTCTCTTTCAAAAATCAGTTATAGACCTCAACGAGGACAGCAAAACAGCAGGTCCAAACTAGGCCTTAGTATTGAACCCACTCACAGAAACACTGTGTTTGTCATCAACAACTCAGGTACCTGAGGCATTGGCCTTGCATGTGTATGCATGCTGTGTAAGTGCACACATGTGGGGGCATTTGAAGACCAGAAGCCAATGCTCAGTGCCTTCCTCATTCATTCTCCACCTCATCTTTTGAGATGGAGTCTGTCCCTGAACTTGGAGTTCACCAACTGGGCTAGACTGACTGATCAGCGAGCCCCAGGAATTTGCCTGTCTCTGACTCCCCAGCACTGGGATTACAAGCACACGCCACCACACTGAGCCTTTATGTGGGTTCTGAGGTGTCAAATTCAGATCCTTACTGTTGAACAGCAAGAACTTTACCAATAAAGCCATGGCCCCAGTGCCCGCCCATCCATATTTGTCATTCCATGTGCTTGAGGAAAAAGTACCTTTCGAATATGCACACCTAGCCATTTCATGTTGCCGCAGCAAACATTCAAAATCTCTGACCTAATGATTGATTCCTCTTCTGTTGAAATGTAAATTGTAATAATTATTTTTATATGATAAAAAACAAGCTGAGATCTTCCATCTCTAGATGCTGTGATCACTGCCAGGGACTGAGTGTGGAACAAAAAGGGTTTTTCCTGCCACATCTTTTACTTTACACTAGAGGTTTTCCAAATACTTCCATGGGCTGTTCTCATGGAGGAGCAGCCTCAGGTTCAAGGTGAACAGAAGGGGATGGAATTTGCAGGAAGGATATCTTGGCATCCTACGCAGACTCCTGTTAGTCAAGAAAGGCCTGAGCTGGGTGTGGGTCACCCACTCCCCTTAGCCTCATCGTCATGCCCAAGATCCACTCCTTGCCCCCTGCCCACCTCAGTTCTGATACCGAAAGATGCTTCCCACTGCAGGAACAGTTCCATAAACCATGTCTGGAAAATACTTACAATGTGTGCATTGAGGTGAAGGGTCATAGCAGCCTGAATTTGTCTGACAGAGTCATAAGGTCCCAAGCTACACCAACCATAACATAAGATGGTTAGAAGAGAGAATCTGAGTGCACTGGAGACACGGCTTGGTGGTTAAGCACTCTTGCTGTAAAATTATGAGAACTGGAGTTCTGATTCCAGTGCCCACAAAAAAGGTAGGAGTATTGCAAAGGCCTGTAACTCCAATTCCAAGGGACCTTCCATCTTCTTCTGGTCTCTATGGAAGCACAGACATGTGTAGTCATGTATACACATAAACACACACAGAGAGGCTCAAACATGCACACACATAAATAAACAATAAAATCTTTAAGACTGAGTGAATTGGAAGCTTATTTGGAATCCATGATAAATGTACTAGTCTGTAGTTTATAAACTAAGTGGAAGGGCAGAGGAACTGACCCTTAGAGGCAAATGTAGTCTCTAAGCAAGCACATACCCAAAAATTCCAACAGTTTTGCTGCCCCTAAATTTTCCTATGTGGGTGTGTTTGCAGCTGCAGCTAGTTCAGAAATGTGAATCCTAGTCTTGAAATGAATGGAGAAGGGAGAAGGGCTGGGAAGGCTAAAGGAAAAATCAAGGCCAAGGACCCAAGAAAGCTGAATGTATCATCTAAAGCAAGAAGCGTCTTACATACGAAGTCCTCAGCTTCCTGCCACCAATGTAGGATCTAAAGTCTAAGACAAGCTGTCCTCCACAACCCCAAGAGATCCCCCAGTAAGCCAAAACCTCGGGAGGCACAGACTGTGTTCCTACTGCCTACATAAGACTTGGGGTGTCTTATGTGCTCAACAAAGGTATGTGAACCAACTGAGCTATGTTAAGTTCTGTACCCTAAAGGGCTGCTCTACTGGGCATCTTTCACTCTACTAAAGAGAACACAAGGCTAAGGCGTAATGAGGCTTAAGTTCTGCTCACATTTCAAGCTGGGGACATCAGATACCAAACAGTGTTGGGGAAGTACAAAGTGACACTCCAAAGTCCAGAAGCCACCTTCCCAGGGTTCCTTACCCTACTCTGAGAATTCTGGGGCTACAGGGCTGGGAAAACGTGAGCCTCTATCAACAGTGATTCCAAATTCTCATGGGAAATTACCAGGTAGCTATAGAAAAGCAGTCCCATTTAGGCCCTGGCTTTGATTGCCCCTGGCTTGGCAGAACAAGGAGAGGGCTAAATGACTGTAAATCAAAGCACTGATTTCTGCATTTCGAGACACAACCTATAGTCTTCAAACAGCTCATCTTTGAAGAGAAAATGTATTCCTCTTTACAATATTTTCATCTGCTCTTGGAGTGAAAGGGGGAAAAAGCAGCAATTTTCACTTTAGCAAAAATCCTCTTGATACCCTCAGACAATGCTAGTTTTCTAAGTTAATTCTATGGCTCTCCAGAAAAATGAAGTAAATTAATGCTACAGAAATGAAATCTTGTCTCTGGGATCTTAACATCAATAGACAGTAAATTAAACAGGGGCTACAAAACCCACCTTATATTGGTTGCTGGCAAGTATATTGATGATAATGCTCATAAGACAGGGCTTTGTCTTTTTAATAACATCCCCTTAAAAACACAGCAGAAGCCCATGTTGCATTATCTCCAGGGATAATTAAATGATGTCCTGGATGGAAAAACATTCTAGACTGTTTTCTCTTGGTACTTTTTGTTGTAGCTATCGTTGTTGTTGTGGTAGTAGTGGTAGTGTTGCTGAGGTGTTAGTAGTATTGTGGTGGTGGTGGTGGTAGTGTTGTGGTGGTGGTGGTGGTGGTGGTGGTGGTAGTGTTGTTGTGGTGTTGGTAGTATTGTTGTGGTGGTGGTGGTAGTGTTGTGGTGATGGTAGTGTTGTGGTGGTGGTAGCATTGTTGTGGTGGTGGTGGTAGTGTTGTGGTGGTGGTGGTGGTGGTGATGCTGTTGTGGTGTTGGTCTCAGTAATTTAGGGGGTTTGTTTGTTTGTTTATTTGGTTTGATCTGGATTTTAGATTTTTTTAGAGAAAGCCTTTCTGTACAACCCTGGCTGTCTCTGAAACCCTGTCTGTGTAGACACCAAGATGGTCTTGAATTCAGGGACTCACCTGACTTGGCTTCTTAGTCACTGGGTTTAAAATTGTGCACCACCACAGCTTTTTCTCGGTGTTTTTGAAACAGGACCACACCATGTAGCACAGCCTGTGCCAGAACTCACTATGAAGGCCAAACTTGTATCACTTGCAGTGATCCTCCTGTCTCAGTCTCCTGGGTACATGAATCACCACATCTGGCTTCTGGCGTTTTATTTTAAGAAGAAAATGCTGAGGGAAACACTTATGTCTCTGCCCCACATGACTACAGGAATCAATCCCCTGGGACCAGGTGGGTTCACACCACCAGTTCACATCATCTACCCCGTTAGCTCCTCCTTGCCAGATGTAGTGATGGTAGGAGGAGACAGGACAGACAGAGGGGTGTGGTGGAGGCCAGGGCTTAGAGATGTCCTCATACCCTTGTTGTGTAGCCTTGAGGTCACCTCCCAGTTTCCTTCTTCTGAACTTCTCTTCTGCCTCCCTTACTGTCTCTTGTTCTGCCAGTCTCTTCTCTCCTCTTCCTCTGTCTTTCCTGATGTCTCTGTCCCTTGTCTGTCACTCTCTGTATCTTTCTGTCTATTTCTCTGTCTGTCGCTCTCTATATCTTTCTGTACTTGTCTCTCTTGCTCTCCCCCTTTGTCTCAGTATTTTTCTGCCTCCCTCCTTTTCTTGCCCTCCACCCTTTTCCCCATACCCCCCCATTCATTGCTGCTCTCACACACTCCTCAACCAGTGAGTTCTCACACTAACTGCTTAGCTTCACCTCCTCTCATCACCTAGTGTGCCATCATTTCCTTTCCCTGCCCTGCGGGGAATTCTGGGAAAGTTGCAGTCTTGCCCTCATCATATCCCATCCTATCACACACCCTGTCTCCTACCTTGAAATGACAGGGATACAGTACCTAATGCTATTGCTTGTATCTGGGCTTGACCTTCATGGGATCATTGATGCCACTTGATTTGCATGGTGTCTGTCACAGTGAGATGCACATGATGGCTCTTGATAAATAGTGCTTATATTGGTAATGATGATGAGGGCAGGGTAACGCTGACCATAACAGTGACAGAAATAATACACCCCCTCTAAACAACCCTGTCTGGATGAGGCTAAAGCAATTGGCATAGAAACACTTCCTTTGGCTTGGAGGTCCTTTGGCTCCTCCACAGCCAACCCTGAGCATAAGATACGGATGTGAGTGTTCATACATGAGCTATTTCAGAACAGAGGCACATTTGCCACTTTTGAGCAGGAACATATGTTATGATAATGGTTCAAGACCATAAGCATCTGCAGTGTGCTTCACATAGAGACATTCTGATAATGTATGTGTTCATCTGTTTTCTAGCCTGTACAAAAACAAAATTTCAACCTAGGGCTTAAATAATGCTCAAAACAGAGGGCCTTCACACACAAGTACAAATGAAACTTTCTGAGCAAATGGATTACGGACACTCAGAAGAGTGAGGCTAAATACACAAAAGCACAGGAAACATAGTTTATAAAATACTGTGAGGACACAGTTGGCTGTATAGCCTACAACACATGATATACAGTATCACACCACATTGGAACTAGATAGACTTGGGAGCTTATTATTAAATTTTCAAGCAGTTTTGAAAGTGAGATGTTAAATACAGTCATTACTAAAACTGAAAATACACAAACTTACAGCTAAATTATACTAAAAGTAATAAACACTCCAAATTTGCTTCTTCAGAATTATCTGACCAATATGTGTGCTTTAGAAATTATTTATAGCTCTATTTCCACACAGGGGAATACTATAAACATCTTTATAAATGAGCTGCTGCTCAAACCAGTGTACCTCCTCCTAAGTCTATACTCAGTGACCTGAGGCTGTCAGCTTAAAATTGGTGAGGCTG